AAGAGATACCGGAAGAGCTGGCACCCAAGCTGTTCTCCTCCTCTCAGTCTGAGGACACATCACCATCCTCTGAGGAGTCATCCCAAAAGTCTGGAACACCACCTTCGACTGCTCCCGAGACAGAGAACTCATCTGTAGCCAACGGCGATCTCGGAATCAAGGAGGAGAAAGAGGCAAGACCTCAGGAAGTTCAGTTGGAAAGGTTCGGGCGCTTGTCTTACACCCAGTCAGTATTCTTGTTTGTGCACGAACTCTTGCCTGACAAGACCACTCTGAACAACACAGTTATGCTTCATCTTAGCGGGGAAGTGCGAATTGCCGATCTCTCCCGCGCTGTTCGAGCCTTGGGAGAACGCCACGAGTCGTTGCGTAGTTGCATCTGCGAGCGCGACGGCCAGCCCAGTCAAGGAGTCATGAAGACCCCGTCTTTCGCCCTCGAGCACAAGAGGATCTACACCAAGAGCGAGCTCTTCGATGAGTACGCAGCACTCCGGGGCCATGTCTTCGACCTTAGCCGAGGCGAGACCAGCCGGACGATTCTACTCTCATACTCGCCACGGGATCACTACCTTTTGATGAGTTCTCACCACATCTTTTTCGATCGAGCCAGCAATGACGCTGTCATGGGCGACCTGGAGCGACTGTACAACGGATATCCCCTCGACCCGAACCCTCTCCAATACCTCGATTACTCTGATGACCAGCAAAGGCAGTACTCATCCGGAGAATGGGACGAGGCCATCAAATTCTGGCGCCACGAGTTTACCACTATTCCCGATCCTCTATCCCTCCATCGCAGCCAGATCTCTGAGCGGCAGCCTCTTGAGCGCTACGCCTCCCGCATCCCAGATTTCCGCATCGACAAACAGCTCTCAGCAAAGATCCGTCAGGTAGCTAGAAAGTATCGCGCCACGCCGTTCCACTTCCACCTCGCGGCCTTCAAGATACTCCTGCATAGGTTCCTCGGCACCACCGACGTCTGTATCGGTATCGCAGACAGCTGCCGGCGAGACGATAGTATGCGCACCGGTATCGGCCCGTTCCTCAACATGTTGCCCCTACGCATGGTCGCCAACGCGGAGCAGCCTTTCCTTAGTGCCTTGGACGAGGCGCGGGAGAAGAGCTTTGCTGTTCTTGCCAACTCGATCCCACTTGAGGTAATCCTGAATGAGCTCCGCATCTCACGTCAGGCTACCCACACGCCTTTGGCGCAGGCATTCATGAATTACGCCGAGAACGACCTTGAAGACGGCCAAAAGTTCCTCGGATGCAGGATGACGATGATGAAGCAGGAGATGGCTGAGCTTCCTTACGACATTACCTTCACCGTGATCAACAACACTACTGGGGATACGCGCATTCTCTTGAACTTGCAAGAGTCCTTGTACACGGAGTCTGATGCGCAGATTTTGCAGCATGGGTACGAGGATATTCTTCGCGAGTTCGCCAACGCACCGGATGAGGCTGTTGGTAGCACTTGGCACTTCAGACCAGCTGTTCTGCAGAAGGCTCTTACATTGGGTCGCGGTTAGTTCACCAAAGAGCGGTATCTTGACTCTGTACCATACCAGGTTGCTAACATCCATTCAGGCGCGACTTTCAACTCATCTTGGCCCGAAACCCTCATTCATCGATTCGACAGCTTCTTCCAGACTGTCAGGGAGAGAGTTGCCGTGACCGACGACGCTAGTGGCTCGATTACCTATGCAAAACTCTCTACTATGACGAACGCGATTGCATCGGAACTCCTTCGTCAAGGTGTGCAGCCCGGCTCGAGAGTCGCTGTCTTCCAGCACCCATCAATCTGTTGGATACCTTCTCTCCTCGCGATCCTCAGAATCGGAGCCGTCTATGTCCCGCTTGACGTCAACACGCCAGTCGCCAGACTATCACTGATCGTGCGCGACAGCCAGCCATCCTCAATCTTGTTACACGACTTGACGAAAGACGATGCAACCAATCTGGAGTTCGAGAGAGGTACTTCTATAGTCAACGTGTCAGCCTTAAAAGAGCTGGGTGAGAAAGAGGTTCCCAACCTCGCTCAACCGAACGCAGCGGCCATCATTCTGTACACCAGCGGCTCAACAGGAACCCCGAAGGGAGTCATTTTACGCCATAGCAGCTTGAAGCACGAGTTCGATCACTGCGCGGTGACCTACGAGCTAAACCAATATGATGTCGTTCTCCAGCAGAGCGCTTGGAGCTTCGACCTATCCGTGACGCAAATCTTCCTGGCTCTCGGCGTGGGAGCCCAGCTGCACACTGTGTCTCACACTCTGCGCGCCGACTCGAACGCGATGGTCGAGCTCATCAAGGGTCAAGGTGTGACGGCCACCTACGCGACTCCAACTGAGTACAAGAGTTGGTTGAGGCGCGAAAACCAGACCACATTGCAGTCCTCGGTCTGGCGCCTGGCTTTGGTCGCCGGAGAGGCCGTCACCGAGCCGCTTCTACAGCGCTTCCGTGAGGTGGATCGCGACAGCCTCCGTCTCTTCAATGTGTACGGTCCCACAGAGACAACATGTGGATCTACCAAAATGGAGCTGTCGTACCGTGAGCCTGGATCTTATCACGGAACCATCCCCGTTGGAGTGGCATCGGCAAATGAGCGCTTTTACATCCTAGACGCTAGCCTGAACCTTCAGCCGGTCGGTCAAACGGGCGAGATTGCTATCGGTGGTGTTGGCGTTGCCAAAGGCTACCTGAACATGGAGGACCGGACTCAGGCATCCTTCTTGCCGGATCCCTTTGCAACCGAGGACGATGTGAAGCGCGGATGGACGACCATGTATCGAACAGGCGACGTCGGATACTTGCAGCACAATGGCATGCTCGTTCTGAAGGGGCGCATCGGAGACGACACAGAGATCAAGCTTAACGGTGTGCGTATTGATTTGAAGGATGTAGAGAATACCGTCGTACAAGCCTCCAACGGACTTCTCGCCGATGCCGTGGCGTCTCTTCGCAGCACCTCTGACGGGTCGGTCAAATTCATGGTCGTCCATGTCGTCTTCTCGGGCGAGAGTCTGACCGGCTCCACGAGCAAGTTCCTCCAGAAGCTTCTCGCAGAATTGCCATTGGCACGAAACATGTGCCCCTCGGCCCTCATACCAATTGACTCGCTTCCCAGAACGGTAGCTGGCAAGGTCGACAGACGGGCCATCGCTTCCCTGCCGATCTCGCAGGGGCTTTTCCATCGCGCTGAGCATGATGGAGATGGTTCCGAAGGGTCCAAGAGACTGTCCACGGCCGAGAAGACACTCCAGAGCTACTGGGAAATTGTGATCCCCGAAGAGCTGGTTGGACTGCACGACATCGAGGCGGATTCCGATTTCTTTACAATCGGAGGTAACTCTCTTCTCCTGATCGAGCTTCAGGGTCGGATCCGTGCGGATCTTGGCATCTTCATCGCACTGCCCAAGCTTTTCCAAGCTACCACCCTGAGGTCTATGGCCCGGCTTCTTCCCGGGATTGAAGGCACTGAGGCGGCGCTCGAAGAGCAGATCGATTGGGCAATCGAAACCGCTCTGCTGCCGGGAGATATAGTTTCTGAGCGAGACACTGCCGAGCCTGTTGCGAAGCTCCCTCGCACTGTTGTCTTGACCGGAGTCACTGGTTTCCTCGGCCAATACCTCGCCAGATCCCTTGTCGAGAACGAGAACATCGAGAAGGTCATTTGCATAGCAGTTAGGAACCCCAAGGACCAAGCTCGGCAAGATCTATTTTCTGAGCTTGGGCCAAAGGCAGAGTTTTATGAAGGCGACCTCAGCTTGCCTCGCCTCGGTCTCACGGAAGAAGCAGCCCTCATTATCTTCCACTCCGCCGATGCGGTGATCCATAACGGAGCGGACGTCTCGCATCTCAAGACTTATCCTTCTCTCCGCGCTGCAAACCTCGGGGCAACGCAGGAGCTCGTCCGGCTGTGTAGCCCCCGGCAGATCCCGCTGCACTATGTGTCCACCACGGGTGTTGCCATGTATACCCCCTTTAAGGAGCTGGCCGAAGTCTCGGTCCGCGAACACATGCCCCCGGCGGACGGCCAACACGGCTACGTCGCATCCAAGTGGGCCAGCGAGGTGTACCTCGAGAACATTCACGGACAAATCGGTCTGCCGATCTACATTCATCGTCCGTCGAGCATCATGCGTCCAGAGGCCGACAGGACCGGCGAGAACCCGGCTGCTGATGTCCTGCAGAACATGCTCGATTACTCACGACGCGTACGCGCCGTGCCGGCCGCGCCGGGTCTGAGCGGCTTTGTCGACTTGGTGAAGCCGGAGACGGTCACCAGTGGGGTGGTGAGTGCCGTCATGTCTGGGTCTAAGGAGGATGAAGTTGTGTACATCCACGAGTCTGGCGACTTGGAGTTAGATGTAAGCCAGATAAGAGAGCATTTGGAGACTGAGACGGGAGAAGCTGTTGAGGCATTAGTTCTAAATGAGTGGATTGATCGCACGGAGGAGATTGGGCTATCGCCTGCTATGGCTGCCGTGTTCCGGAGTTCGCTGGGGTCTGGAGAGCCGATGAATCTGCCGAAGTTGCTGAGGCGATGATTCATTACATGGAGTTTACTTGGAGTTTTAGTTGTATCGGATGCTTTTCGTCGTCATTGGTGTCATCGTACTGTTGCACACTACCCATTATGTAATAGAGGTCTTCCATGTTTTGAGATTGTGGTAAATAAGGCGTAATTGCTGGCCGGCAATTACGGTTCCGTTTTTGTACGACAGAGATTCATGCCTTCCCTTCAACTTGGTGTAAGCATATCATCATTGTGAGTCTCGAGATTAAAACATCCCCCTTTTAGGCCAGTACTGAGTTGAATTACGGTTTCACCGACTTCCGCTTAACGTAGTATCACATAGCCAAACCTTAGTGGGGTCAACAACTATACGTACTTCATCTGCTCACTCAGACTTCCATGCCATGTTGTGCGAACCTTCAACAGTCTCGCGCTAATTGTCTACTCTGTCTGACTGCTTGTTTTCTCTCCACCTCGACTATGTCGTTGCCTTTCTAGGCCTTCTCTGCTGCACAGAGTCTTGCGATAATAGAGGCCTGGGTTCATCAAGACTGTGGGATGACACATCCGACGCTGTCATTACATGTCCTTCCTTTTGAACGACGCGCTGAGCTGTGGGAACTTCCTCGTCCTCCGATCTATCATCCTTGGCAACCCCCAAGAAGACAAACTTGTAAGCGCTGCGCAGTAAGCAATACAGCCAGAACAGGTTCAGTGCCTGCAACAAAGCCAGGAGGCCAAAGGTGATGAAGTTTGACAGCGGACACTTATACTGCTCAGTCTCCCAGTTCAGCTCATATGGCCCAACGGTACTGAACTCGGATCCAGGCAGCGCAGAATAGAGAATCCGCAGATTGATGTAGTGCCGGAGGTAGATCCACACTGCGATACACACCCCAAACGACACCCCTTGAAGCTTGTTGTCGAGATAATTCAGCGACTTTGACACTGCCAGGAAGAAATCGCTGATATCGTGCGTGATGTACACCGCAATACCCATATACGCAAAATGGAAGCGATAACTCAGCGCAACGAGCGCAACCGTGACGACGTGGTGGGCGACAAGCTCATGGAAGTCCTTGCGCCGTTGCTCCAAGCCCAGCACCATCACCACCACCTGCTGCGCCCAGAACGCTGCCTGTAGGAGGTAGTAGCACTTGAAGCTGGCATCGTGCGTGCGGTGCGGGAAGCCCTCATACATCCCGTGGGTGTCGAAATACCACACTGGCGTACGGCTCATGACGTGGAGACCCCAGGGCCCGATGACGGTCACGTAGAGTGCTGTGTACATGTTCTCCGCGAAGCGTGCGCGCTTGGCGCGGGATTTGATGCCCCATGCGCGAGCGAGGGGCGTCAGGAGCTCTTGCATGCAGACCTCACGGGTGAAGGTGAGGAATATTGTGTAGAAGGCAACGAAGGCGATGTCCCAAGGTCCCTTGCCATATTGAATTGTCCCGGCGCTGTCATCGTCGAGCTTGTAGGAGGGGAATATGAAATGGTACGTCGGGTTAGAGTCGGTCGGATTGACGGCGTAGAGAGAGAGGATCGCGATCGTGAGGAACAATGGGAACGCCCAGGTCCGACGGCGCAGGAGAGCGAATACCCTTGTCTTCTTGCGCTTCGAGTAGCTTTTTGTCTGGCGGCTCTTCAACATTTGGGGCGGGACCTGAGCGCCTGGCTGGAGTTCCATGTAGTTTGCGCCCATGTTGTAAGAGATCGTGGGAATTTGGGTCTCGGCGGGAGTTCGTGAAGTGCTTCGTCGTCGCGATCGTTTGGTCGTCGTGCTAATGGTGAATTCGACTTGTCAAATGACACCTTAGCTTCCGATCATTGATCCAATTGATCAAGACAGTTAAGGTTGGGTGCAGGTCTGTCTTCAGAATTCCGCGTCTCACACCTCCACGATGCGCAAAGAAAAAGAGTCGCAAGACTCGAGATCATGAGGGGATCAAATAATTTGAGCGGGCGTCCCCAACACAGGCAGGCCAGGCGCAACTGGAGAGCTGTCCGTCTTGGGATAGCTTAATGCAGGGGCTACTGTTGGTTGGTGTGTGTGGCACACAATTAATCAAACGGGGGGGCGTCAGCAGAAGTCTAGAAGGGGAAAATTGAGCTTTTATCCCGTTGGAGGACGGAGACGGAGTCCTTTGATAGTAATCGAAGATTTATGGGATATATGTACAGTTCATACAGCGCGCCTTTTACGAGCTTTGGTTTCAGCTCCGCGAGCATTCGTATAGTTGCATCTAAGTTTGTGAAGTCCGAAGTTCTGTGTTGAGAAGCCTCTCAGCTGAGTCCGGTGAACATGCGAATGTCCATGTCTCGGCAGCCTCCATTCACAGCATATGGACCCACGTTTCCAACGGTGGCTGCCATTCGCCATCCCCACCAGACCCTGGCGGATAATAGAATTGTTGCGGGAGGCTGAGGAATGGAAAAGGGGGAGAGGGTCGAGCTGGAGAATTGAGACGTGTACGAGTTTTTTTACCCTCCGAATCGGAGGGTTTATGTCGTCATATTGCTCCGAATGGAGCGGGTCTCACTCGGTCCCGGTTCATGAGGGGACTGAAGCTGCACATCGCCTCCAGAAAATGGTGCTTTGGGACCAGACCTCTCTGAAACTACTCAATTTGGACGGAAGTGGTTTATGAACTGATTATCCATTGTAGTGGAGGGTAAACGTAAAAACTGGGACTTAGAAGAGAGAATCGCTACTCTTTGATGTAGACGTACTAGAGTCTCACGATATGAATGGGTGGATAACACGAGTATCAGAGTAGAAATCTAGCAAGTTGTATGTCATGAACTGGGGAATTGGAGTCTATTGTGTCTGCGAGTCTTGGCCAGCCAATGTAGCGTATCATCTTCGCAGCCCTCAATCAATCTGTTTCTCGCACCCGATTCTATTGAGCAACTCCTTCCGGCCGCTGTGCGTCCTAACGCCACTCACCCTAGAGCTCGAAGACTCCTTCCGGGAAGGCGACCTGTCCCAAGCCTTTAGGTCAATAGACTCCACGCCAACATCCTCCTCAATGGCCTCGATCTCCTCATACTCGATCTTCTCCTCCTCCTCTTCCTCGTCATCAACATCGCTCCTAACATCCTCGGCGGGAGCCCCCTTGAGCACTCTCACTGAGACACGAATAATGAAGAACGACCACGCGCAGATGACAAGCTCAAGTGCAAGGAGAAAAGTCAAGAAGCCGTATCGAATGCCGTCGGTGAAGCATACCGTGCCCGCGGGGTCCTTGAACGGTTCGAGAAGGTGGGACCACCCCTCTTTAGATGCCGAAAAAGGGCCTTCAATATTGCCCGGAGCGCCTCGAAAGCATGGCTCTTTAAGAGATCGGGGCAGATCATAGTAGACGCTCCAGCAGGTCATGAGGTAGAATACGTGACGCGTCCAGACCCAGACCAAGAGGAAGACGCCAAAGATAACGTCGCAGAGGGTTGTGAAACCGATGTATTTGAGGCACTTGGCCAGCTGTCGTGACTGTTAGCAGGTGGTTTGGTGCGTGACGTTGTTTCAAGGAGGACTGACAGGGAAGATCAACTCAATGACGTCCATCAAGACCAAGATGAGATGACCAACGCGGGTTTGGTGATACGCGTAGCATGCGGCAATGAGGGAGATGGTGATGGCATGGTGCACAATCATCTCCCAGTAGTCCTTGCGCCGAGCCTCAATATTCACTGAGATGACCTGCTGGACCCAGTATGCCCATTGTACCATGATATATCCCTTCATCAACCCGCCGAGCTCTCGCTGGGGCCAATTGTTCCACAGCTCCTTCATGTTAAGGTAGTATGGCGCCTTGCAATAGAGGTACTAGGAACTCGCCGGTTAGTTGACAATATGCCCACGAGGTGAGAATGCGAATCTACTGTACCATTCCCACTGGCCATAGGACACTGTAGTACGTGAGCATCGAGCCCTGTTCTGAGAACCTCGCGACATCCTTCTTCTTCGATATGCCCCAATGCCGGCCGAGGGGCTCAAGAACGTGGCGCATCAGCGCGGCTCGGATGCCAATGAGGAGAACCACGCAGAATGCGACAAAGTAGAGGTCGTCGTGGCCGGCGCCATACTTGCCGGTTGTCGTGTTGTAATATGAGAGTTTGATGAACTTGGATGTATACGGACGTGCTGCGGGGATGCAGATGTGTGTGAGGAGTAGAGGGGCAGTTGTATGGAAGGCAAGGTCTGTTCAATTAGAGAACTTCAGGTCAGCATTGACTCGTAGGATGAATGGGTGTGATGCACGGCATCGGTAGATGTTGTCAGCTTCCTCCACACTCTTCGCGACGTACTTGTCTGGTTGTCAAAGAGCCATTGGACAAGCTTCTTCCTCCGGCTCGTGTCAATGGTCTTTAACTTTTGTGAATGAGCAAGCCTGGGCGCCCTGGATGGGACAGGCGAAGCGCGCTTCGTATGCGCGATCTCGGTGGTGGGTTCGATCATCGTCCTTGTCACGCAGTCGAGGCGAAGCTCAGCTCAGCTCAGCTTTCCACGAGAAGATGCCGAGGCGAAAAGGAATCAAACAGTGTGTTTCTCGAGCAGAAAGTTGTGTGACAAAACTGTTGAGAAAGTGCCCGTAAGCGCGAGTCGCTTAAAGAAGTAACAGTAACAATATTTCCCTGCCAGCGGCCCCCTTCCCCCAACAGGGCGAGACCAAAGCTGCCAGCTGAGCAGGTTGGACCCTTTCTTCGCGCCTCACAGGGGGCGGTGAGACAAGGCGGCGGGAATGCAGGGATGTTCATATTTGGGCGGGCGGGATCTTGGAACTGGCGGTCGTTAAGATCTCAGGCATTTCCCAACTTTCAAGTTTGTTTGCCCTAGGGCAAACTGTGTGTCTGCATCTTGAAGCCGCCCGTGGAACAATAGGGCTGAACTTTAGAGGCTTCCATCAGTGTGGATGCCAAGTACCTTTCGCAAACTGCAAGTCATCACAGCAACCTATGTGTTGGATTTCCATTCCTCAATGACATTCGCGATTGCCAATTGACCACAAAAACGAAGATGCAGGGCATGCAAGACTCAGGGGAAATCAGCATCAGGCCATCCCTGCACCAATCAGGATAAGCTGACATGGGTGCTTGTCATCCTTCCATCGCCCCAGGTCCGCAGATTGTGTTCGCCGGTGGATCCTGAGGCTTAGCTATCCGTAGGCCCGCGGGAACCCGAACCAACTGGATGGAAAAGTCTCGATAAAATGATAGAGATATTGGTCTTTCACTTTTGCTCTAGAAAGCTGACGTGCGCCGATACATTGACCTTCTCGGACCCGATCAATCGTTCTTGCTCTCCAGCACCGACTTACTTCTGCTCATAGACTCTGAAGATCGCATACTTTGGGAGGTCAGAGCATTTACCAAAGTCTGCTAGCAATGGAAACATAAAAACCACGATGGAAACTTATGCAGCTTGCTTCGGCAAATGATAGTGCACTGCGATATGCCACCGATAACCCCTCCGGCTGTGGAAGCCCCATCGACCGAGAGCTCCGGGCAATATCAGGCGACGCACGGAGCTGCGACCCACCTGAACCGAGTGAAGGATTTTGATTCGCTGCATTTGACGGATCCTCGGGGATCCACACCTCCGGGAACCCGGGGACCGATAAGATTCGTCGGCCGGGGGAAAGTGGTATGCCTACAATTGAGGCCACGCTGTTGTCGCAATAGTCCTACAAGCGGACAGCAGGAAAAGAGAGGAAGGCGAGGTTATATGTCGGCCGGTTACATGTCTCTTCCGGCTTGTATGGAGACGGATTTCCCATATTATGTGTGGCCGCTGATAAAGGTACCCGGTCGGGGTCTAGCGGGGAATCGGCGACAGTAATATACGGCGTTCAATGCTCGCCGAGACAACCCGGTATCACCCGCCGAGTCATAGCATGCGTCCCATGAGACTGTTTTCTTAATGATGTTCTCCCTCATCGTTCCACCTCGTTACATACATGCTTCTCTCGGGGCCGTATCCTTCACGCTCGTAAAATTCGCAATGGCTGCCGCATATCCTGCCATTCAGGCTCAAGCCAACATGCAGAAGCCAGAAGGACTGGATTTGTATGCTCGATTCGCGCTCGCTGGTGCTTTGGGTTGCTCCATAACTCACGCTGTCTTCACGCCCGTCGATGTGTACGTCGTTTATCACCTTTACTCTCACATGCCAGACTCATAACAATACCATAGTGTCAAGACGAAGATCCAGCTTGAACCAGCAACCTATAACCGCGGTATGATCACGGGTTTCCGCCAACTGATACGCAACGAAGGTGTCGGTTCTCTACTCACAGGTCTGGGCCCGACATTCGCCGGCTACTTTATCCAAGGAGGCGTCAAGTTCGGCCTGTATGAACTCTTCAAGAAACAATCGATTGAGATCTTTGGAATCGAGAAAGCTAGAAGAAATCGTACGGCAGTCTACTCCGTTTCGGCAGCCTTTGCTGAATGTTGTTCTGCTGTCACACTTTGTCCCGCGGAAGCTACGCGTATCCGACTCGTGTCCGTGCCTGGCTTCGCCAACGGGTTGGTAGGTGGTTTTAGCAAGATTCTGAAGCATGAGGGTGTTGGTGCATTATACTCCGGATTTGGGCCAATTTTGTTCAAACAGTAGGCTGTGTTTCACTACTTTCTTGGCCTGCGTTGCTGCACGTACTGACACCAGCAAAGAGTTCCTTACACGGTTACAAAATTCGTTTCATTCGAAAAGATTTCCGAGTTTTTCTTCGCCCGTCTCGATAACTCCAAGACCGGCACTACACAGCTCATGATTAACATGGGATCCGGTCTCTTATCAGGTTGTGCCGCGGCTGTCATCTCGCAACCAGCTGACACCATGCTGTCCAGAATCAACAAGACAAAGGGATTGCCTGGTGAAAGTACCGCGTTTCGTCTTTACAAGATTGCGGGCGAGCTTGGACTCCGTGGTTCATTTTCTGGGCTTCCGGCACGTCTGTTTATGATTGGTGGGCTCACCGCTGGCCAGTTTGCCATCTATGGCAGCATTAAAACGGCTCTGGGTATGGAAATCTGGCTTTCTATCCATGTCTAGGCTAATCATACGGTTGTAGGTGCTACTAATGGGGTAGAGATATCGAAATGATCGGGATATGAGCATACCTTTTGGCTGTTAAACGCCCCTCTACGAAATCCCATTGAGATCGAACCTGAGAGCGGCTGCGCATTGTATCATCGGGCTTCATTGTTACTTTTGTTTATTTAGTGGACTATATCGCGTTGCTATCGAGTGATATTGTGCTCCATATTATTGACAGCAACTGCTTTTACCACGACATCTCGGTGTAATTACACAGCAAACGGCAGCCCAAACAATCGTGAACTCCTTTGGCTTATGCAAAGAACTTTGAACTCAATGCATTGTGGTGGCACGTTTCCCACAATGATGCTTCGATCTCGGCACGGTATCTCAGCTGACGGGTGCCCAAGCGATAGGTTCGGAAAGGGTATGTACCTACCCAAACTCCTTAGATAGATCTATCTATCTTTGACAGAATTCGTTCCCAGTGACCGACCCAACATCACGAGGATGCTTTTGGGAGGTGGAGCAGATACGAAAGTATCTATCGAGAGGGACACGGCTTCCTACTCGGTCTTGCACTGGAGCATAGTCGATTGGATGCCACAGATTTCCTTCTGCGGCAAGATGCACATCTCAGCATAACATGCGTCGTAAGGATTAGAGGTAGGACTAAGGGGACGAACGCGCCTGAATTTGCCCGGCGTTGATCCCTGCACAAGAAGGCAGACTTAATCTCAAAAGAATCGCCTAAGCGCGACATGAAGCGGAATGAAAGATGGTAACAGACGATTGATAAGTACCTTAGATGAGATAGCGATCCCTTGCCCAACACCCTGCTGTTACGGGGTGTCAATCAAGATCGAAAGACAACGTGCTGTTTTTGTGCAAGTCTCCTTATTCGAGGAATTTGTCTAACATTCAGGGCTCTCGTGATCTGGCATCGTTAGGCAGCCCGGTGTTATGACCTACTCCGTGACCTGAGATGATACCGAATGATAGCGGATATGCCAATTTAGAGACTTAGTAGAATAGCATCTGGATGATATTCCCGTTGCTGACTCCGTGGCAGTTGGATATGAAATAGTAGGTTGTGTGTACATTGTCACCGAGAATCGTGTCTAAATTCTTTCAGGGGAGATATGTTGCCATGTAGCAACCGCGTATTACAATTATCTCAAAGCTGACCCTGAACCCAGAAAGATCCAAAACTCCCAGCGTCAGAGCGCCACGCTCCGAACCTTTCCGGCTCCTGTCTTTCCAATGTAAACCCAAAGTCCGTCAAGTCGTAAGCTAATAATACAATACAGCCCTGTTGAAGTTGTTGTGTCTCTGGGCTCAGTTGATGCCCAACATAGACGACGTTCTCCTGTCACCAGGCTTCTCCTGCAACTGTCTGCGGTACGAATCAAGCTCCATCGTCGCCCATACGAGGGCGATCTTGCCCTTGTCGTAGCGATACATACAGTGCTGGTGAAACTTGACACTCTTCCCGTTCGGCTTCGCGTCCGCAAACTCCTGCACCGGCGTCCCCGAGATCTGCAGCCTTACAGCAACCTGCTGCGTCTCCTCGTCGACGAGCAACTCCTGGATGTTGAACCACAGTCCCGAAATCGCTTCTTGGCTATACTGCATGCTGCGCGCGTAGTCCTGCACCGAGAGAACGCGGTTGTTGTGTCGCAGCTCCTTCTTGCAGTAGCGAGGGAACTCCTTGACCATGCTACGCCGGTTGATGCTAGCGACGTACTTGCGATAGGTTGCCGCCAAATCAATGGGTTCCGCGGGAAGACTCCGCATGAAGAAGCGTGGCGTGGTCGCGGCCTCGGGTGTCTGCAGGCGAATGCCGTCGTTGTCCTGCAGCGTGAGCATGCGGGAGATCTTGCCCCTGTCGTCAAACCACACGAAACACTGCTCGTCGAATTCGTATGTCGTGCCGACAGGATCGACATCCATCATTGCGTCGGCGAGTGTGACGCGGTTGATGTATCGCACGGCCACGGCCTGGGCCTTCTTGTCGACGAGGAGGGTGTCGATTTTGATCTTGAAGCTCGCGAGGCCCTCGACGCGCGATCGAAGACGTTCGACGTGCTCTTCGCGTGTCTGGCTGCGGTTGTTGCGCATGAGAGTGTCGGCCAGGTGGTTGCCGATGACATCGAATTTGCGGTTGTTGAGGCAGTCGAGGTACTCGCGCAGGCGGGCACCGATATCGACCTGGATTCCCTTGCCGTCGCCATTCCATCTCTTGGAGGAGGGGCTTCTGCTCTTGCGGATGGGAATGCTGGTGGTGTTGCCGGAAGCAGCTTCTTTGACTTCGGGGACCTCGGGAGGCTTGAGCTCGGGGGACTCGGGAGGGGTGAGAAGGGTCTCGTGAGGGAAGCACGGAGCTCCGTACTCATCCATCGTGACCGTGTTCATCTTCATCATGATATCTTTCGATGGGGGTGCGGTAAGGGGTTGGTGATCTGTTTAATCGACTGTGACGAGAGCATGTGTTGCCTCCAGAAGGTGAGTTTTGTCGCGATTTCGATAGGTGTAGATGGGTTTGACGAGATGATGGGAATGTGGAAACAGGGTAGCACTCGGGGACGGGAGGTATCGAGCTTCTCGGCGTGAATTGTACTTGTAGGAGGTGAGCTTAGGTTGTAGATCTATGCAGATCACGGATGGGAATCAGGCCAGACCACGGAGACGTAATTAGGGGGGATTAGGTAAGTAAGGTACATTCAATAAAAGAGCACTGAACACGATCGGGCGATGGGAATTACGGGAGCTCAGAACAAAAAAGCAGACGACGTGGCCGGGCCGGGGGTGGTGTGACTGAGTAGAGACATCGAGTGAGAGAGCGAGGGAAATGCGAGTGAGAGAAAAAAGGGCACGATGAAGATCTCAAGCTTTGCGCCACGCCTCTCGCGTGAATGACGTATAAATCCCCGCAATTCCTGACATCACCTACATCCCTGTGGCGGCCAGCCGAACATCTCATCCCTCACTATCCCACAACATCCCAGGACCATCCCTAACCATAAGCGGGACGCGCGGACCTAACCCAAACAGCCACGGCACCGCGCTAGTCCGCCAGATTGTATGCTGGAAATAGCCCATGAGCCAGTCGCCAGGAGGGAAACCTCCGCTACATTCCAATCCGGCGACCTACGCTACTCCAGGTGGCTTGGGTGGCTTTCCTGGGGCAACCGGGGGAAGAGGGGAAATGATGGTCGAGACTCTCAGATCATGCCCCAGGCTCAGAATGACATAGGCAGTGTGATAGGTAGTGTAAGGTACGTAGTCTCCTATTGAAGTGAACCCCAACAAAAACTTGGAAATCAGTTGAATCAAAGTCCGCCGAATCATGCCCAGCCTAGACCACCATCACGTCCCATCAACCATCAGACGGATGAACGATCCCTGCGACGGGAAGTGGAACCCTCCCATCAACTCAAACCATCCAGAAACCACCCCGGTCCTCGCCTCCCGAGCTTCCGGAATCCCGGCATCTCCCTCACAAGATTTTCAGCAGCTGAACGGGGCCGGTCCCGGGTTAGTGTAGCTCGTCGGCGTGGGCCAGTACGGCTGGAACAGGATCCCCGGGTCCGTAGACTTGTACGCCCCCGGGAACGACACGAGGCCCGATGGGCTGGTGCTCCCGCCCCCAGACACGGACACCTGCGCGCACGCGAGGTAGAACTGCGCGCCGCCCTCCGTGGCGGCGCCATGGAGCGCCAGGTGCTCGACGCGGACGAGGTACTCGCCTGATGGGATGCACGCCGGAATCTTGGCAGAGAGGACTTGAGTGTCTGTGACGTTATGTATCATCAGCTTTTGCTTGTCCAACTGACGAGAAAACCCCCACGAGCCCACAAAACGCTGAATCAGCCCTATGCGAAGGGAATCTGTTGCGGGCACGCGATTCACACACTCTCCAATAAAAGTGAGAGGGTCCCTATTCTTTTGAAACCCGCAGAAAGCTTTTTAGTCTCTGCATTTCTCCTCTTTTCTGCCCTGTTTCCCCCATTTCCAAACTTTTCCTTAACACTCAGCGAGTCTCTTCTCCGTCATATTACTCTGGAGACACCAAAAAAGAAGGCAGAAAATTGGAAACAACTCACTGGTAGAAGCCCACTCCAACCCACTGCTCGTAATAGTCGGCCTCTCGTGGTAGATCTTGAACCACACCGCCCCGCTGCCGTCCCACGTCGCCGCGGTTTGGCCGGTCGGCACCTTGGCCATGTAGAAGCTCGCCGGTCCCGGGTGTCCTACGACCCCGTTGGCCGCAAATCCGATTGTTGAGCCTGCCGATACCGGCAGCGTTGTCACCGTGCCGCGGTCAGCGGCGTCTGCTTCATAGCAGCGAATCTGCGTCGACGATACACCGTCGGCCGGGCCGTTGGTGTAGAAATTGAGCGTCTTGCGCACGTGTTGCCATTCGGGGTAGGTTGTGCCGCCGTAGACGAGGCGACCGAAGGTGTCTGTGGTCAAAGAAGTCAGAGCTACCTTGTATTGTTTTGTGTGCAGCGCTGGCTTTGTGCTTTTTGTGAGATGCGTATGATTGACAGTCAGACTTACAGTGGGCCTCGGCAGAGGCGACTGCCACAGCGAGAAAAGTGGTTAGCGAAAACTTCATTTTGCTGCTGTACTGGCTACTTCTAGACGTATGACTTTAACTTTATTCTTTCAAACCTTTAGGTTGTCTGGAATCCAATCATCTCGATCAAGCTCGGCTGACCGACCAACTCTTAAATAAAGCTGCCATCTCAGTGACTCCCATATCATCACTCTCGATGCTCACATGATGTTAACGAGCGGTCGCTTTCTCGGCCTTCACGAACGCTTTGGAAGAACTCCCAAGAGCTTCTCAATATCAGAGAAGTCTTTCCGGTCACTAGCGAAATATAAGGGGATATATTCCACGAATCTCCTGTCTCCGGGGTCGAAACCGGAGCGAGGCCTCCGAGAGAAGGTCACAACACGACCCTTGTGCTGCTTCAGGTTGCTACCCGCCAAGATCCAGTGAACTACCGTTCGTCCAATAGGTCCGGGGTAAGCATATTGGACACAATCAAAACTAGACCCAAGTCTGGAAATGGGTTTTTTCTCTCGCCTCGAGTTTACACTTTCTTCCTTCAATCAATATTCGAGTTGTGCTTGGTTAGTATAATGCGATAAAGCATTTATAATACGAACGGAAAGATTCATGTTCTCGAGGAGACCAACGGGTCTATCATCTCCGCATTTTATATGTAAGGTACTGACTGCGACCACAAGCAGCCCACTTACAGCATTTTGCATTATGTATTGGTCGGTATGAGAAATGCGGACAGATCTAACAGACAACCTTACCAGCACTCACTAAACACCCCATTGGAACGTCATGCTCAACTCTAATGTTATCAAACATTTATTTGTAAGATCAACCATATACTGCAATCCTATAGCGGAGACCATATTGCTGGACAAATGAGCTACGTATTGGCAGTGATATGTAATGGAAACCCGCTGTAACAAAGCAACCCACATCGTCCAATTCAAGCAGTGTCTATCTCATATCCGCCTCCATCGAAGATTCCAGTTCAGACTCCAGATTGGTGTCAATCCATCTCATTTCTTATGCGGCTCAGCAGCTGAAGCTATTCCTGATGCGGCAGATCTCGTCACAGTTGACGTTGTCAGCATACGGACCCTTGCAATCGCACTCGTTGGCGGGCAGAACGTTGCAGCAGCAGTCCTGTATCTTGGGTTAGCGCTAGACTAACACCAAATAGTTCACAGCGAAACGTTTGTTGCTAAGTGACTTGGACATACCTTGGCAGCTACGCCGCTGATGATGGCGAAGGCAGTGACGAAGATAGTGAACTTCATTTCGAATGTCTGAAGTTGACGATGATGATCTTGTTGTTGATTCGCTGGTTGATTTGATGTTTCTAACGGCTTAGACAAGGTGAATTCATTGTGATGGTTGAGAGGTTCTTTTACTAGCTCTTGTCAATTGGAGGAAAGGTGATGTTATATACAAATTTCTAGGAGAACTATCATCGACTCTGATTGCTTTAGATTCCGAGGAAAGCTTAATTGTCACGGACAGCAACTGCCTCAAGACGGAACTGGCAGGCAACACGAGTCGTGTGGCAGGTATTTGTGGATGAATTGCACTGCGAACCCATGGCTAACTAAATTGAACTGACCCTGAATAATAACCAACTTTTCAACATTACTTATCGGTGATCATGAGCTTCTTGGCTCTTAATTTCCACAAAGTGAAAGTGGACCTCGCATCCTGACTCAGTCCCAATCACAACTGTATTTTAACTGATACTATATCCACAAAAGCCAGTTGAAGCTCGTTCTGGGCATAGTCCGTCGAATTAATACAAGAACATCGACGTAATCAGCCCGATTCCAGACTGGAAAAGCCCTATGAAAGAGTTGTAGCACCATGGTTACCACTGAGCCTGGCGGGGGCGAAGTCAACGTGGGCTCTGTGTTCGTCCGGTTTTACACAGTCCATTATGTTAACGTCGCAAGTCATTCTTGAATCCTGACTACGTCCTCAATTTACTTGCCGATGCAGCATTCGTAGGGCAAGGTCATGAGATCAAATGGTACGCACTTGGCATAATAGCAGCAAAAATACAATTGATGCCAAATTTTATCTGTTGGGTAATTTTCATTCGAAATTAGATGGCTTTGCTTGGCCGAAGTTATTTATTACCGCTCACAGTCTTTGAAACTCAAGATATTGTAGCAGAGCAGAGTCTTATGGGTACCTTACTAAGAAGAGGGGGCAGGTCGCTTCCCCCATAATACTCGAGCTATTATTAACGGTAGTAGTTATATATATAATAATTACTACCTAAATTATCGTTACTATAGAGTTATTAGGAGTTTTAGGAGTTATAAATAAGTTATATTCCTCTTATATAAATCTAAGTAATAGTAATATTAAGCGAAAATATATAACTAATAATAAGTATTATATTAATTTAAATATTATAAACGCCTTCTCTATATTATTATAACTTATACTATTTTTTTTAGAATTATTATAGTACTAATACTATTAGTATATAGATATTATAATATTATTATTACTCTTTAGGGCCTTCGGTAGTCTCTTTTTATTATTAATAATATTATTATTACTACTTAGGGGACCTTTTATACTATTAGTACTATTATTAACATTATTACTATTATTCTAGCTACGTACTTACTAAATTAATATACTCCTCGTTATTAGGCTCGGGTTAAAAAAAAAGAGAAATTATTAATTAGTTATTTATTAATAAAAAAAAAGAACTAGAGGAAGACGTATATTTATTATTATTATAATAGTAGTATTATCCTTTTTAAACTCTATTTAACTAGCGAGCTATATTTTTAAGCTCGGATTAGACTTTAGTATAGGGCCTTAGCTAGCTTTTTTAGCCTCTAATTATTATATAATAATTATTCGAGCCTTATTAGCCCGCGGGCTAAATCTTTTAACTTTAATACCCTAAAAGGTATAGCGCTCGATTATTATATTAATAATAATAGCGAATAGGGGGCTCGGGCTATTATTACTATTAAAGGCTATTATAAGTAGGTAAGTAGATATAAATTCTTTAGGTAAAGTAGAATATAATTAGTATAACTAATATATAGTACTTTAGTTTAATAAAAGGATATTATACTTAGTAAAGAAAAGAAAATTAATATAATATATAATATATTTAATATAATATATATTTTTAACGTAATATATATTTTCGACGTAATATATATACTTATAAATATTACGAAATTAGTAGATACGTAGAGACTTACTATAGTACTTATTACTTACTTAGCTACCTGTTTAGGGTAATAAAGTTAGAAAATCTTTTTAAGTAAAAGAGCTAGCGGATTTAAGTACTATATAAAGCTTATTTATAGCTATATAAGTTATAAAAAGAAAATAAATAGTAAGGGTTATTAAGTAGTAACTAGACAAAAGGAGTTATTAAATAAGTAGTTAGTATATTAATCGATTTACCTATTACTAAAGTAAGTATTATATAATTAGTATTTTATAATTAATATATATATAATTAAGGTTAAATCGGTTACTTATACCTAATACGTTTTTAAAAAACGGGCTATAAGTAGCGCCGACCTGCCTCTAAATAAGGGACTATATACTAAATAATATACTACTTATCCTCTTTTATAATAATCTACTTCGTAACCCTTAAGCCTAAGCCTAAGTTTATAATTTAATATATTACCCCTTCCTCCCTCTTTATAACCTCTATATTTTTTTATATATCCGTTATATTAATAATAAGCCGTACTAATCTGTCTATACTAAAGCGAGAGGGTTAAACTCGAATAATATTAATACCGTATCGATATTAAAAAAAATAGAAATTAAGTACTTAAATAAGTATATATATAATAAATTAACTATAGTAAATACTACGCTACGTAAAAAGAGAGCTAAGTAAAGTACTAATTATAATAATAATATTAGACTTATTAGCTAATTTATAAATATTATAAGTACTATTTATTTTAAAATTACAACGAGAGCTACTAATATTAATAGTATTAATAAAAGGATTATATAACTCGGTTTACGTAATATTATTAATAGAGTTAAATATCAAAAAACGATTATTAATATTCAAAATAAAAGAACTAAGGGTAAGCCTAAGTAAATAAAAGCTAAGAATAGGAGCCTAAGTAATATAATTAATAAGGGGTAATAAGAGAGCTTTATTATTTTATATATAGTAGCGAGTATAATACTTAATACCTAAAGTATAACTATTTATAATAAGGTCTCTTTTTTTTTAAATAAAGAGCTCCTTATTAATATTTATAAAGTATTTTATAATAATAAGGCCCTTATAAATATTATAGATCTTAGTATATAGTGGTTTTTTTCTAGCTTTATAGGTATAAAAGATCGACCTTAATAGGATTACGTTTTTAAAAAAAATTATATAATATAGTATACTTTTTAACTATATAATATGCGTAATATACCCTAAGTACGCGCTTAACGTAATATAATAATTTCGATATAAAAACTACTATATAATTTAGGATAGGTAAGCTGCCCTTTACGTAGTAGTACTAGTTAAAAAGGTTAATAATAGAGGTTAGTTATAATAGTTAATTATAATAGTCGGCTATAATAGTTAGAAGCGGCCTTTTTTAACCGCAAAGGTTTTAAATTTTAATAGTAATATAAAAGTTTTTTAAAAAAAGGGCTAAATAGGCTAATATTTACTACTTTTTAAAGCTCATAAAGATTTTTTTTATTCTTATTACTTTTAATATTACCTAAAGCTTTATTTAAACTAAATAAATTTACTAAATAAATTTACTAAATAAACCTATTAATATATAAACTACTACTTAAATAGCTAGTTAAATAACTAGTTAAGAAATTAGTTAATTAAAATATTACTTTAACGAGAACCTAAAAATACTTATTAATAAGTTTATCCCTCTCGGGCTAGGTACCCTTAGCTAGCTCGATATTATAGCTATCGTAACTAATATAAGTATACCTAAGAATTAGTAAAGTACTTTTTAATAATATAGAATTTAGCTAAGTAATAATATAAACGCTATAAATAGCTAAGTTAATATAAA